AAGCGTAATATTTAAAGTGTAGTAGTTTTACATATAGAATAATAAAATATTGGTATAAAGCAGAATGTAATTTTACAAGCATAAGATCTTTTTTAATATTTATATTGCACGCATTAATATGTTTTAAGTAGTGTATGTATTATTTGGTTTATATTTTTAATGGGTAAAATTAAGCCATATATAAAATTCATATAATAGTAAAAAAATATCAAAAGAGAACCAACTAAAAGAATGATTACAAAATAGGATAATCATACAAAAAAAAATGGCCTTTTTATCACAACTATGTTCCTACAATAAAACTTGATTTATAAGGACAAGTCAGATATAAATGAATTTATGCTGATTCTATTGAGTACAATTTTTTTAAAAGTACAATAAAAAGAAAAATTTAGTATGATTAAAACCAGTAAAATTGAATGAAAGAAAACATAAATTAACATGAATAAGAAGGCAAAGGATATAAAATCAATTCATTTAGTAGAATAGAAAAAGAGGGTTTTTGTGGAATAACAAGAAATACAAAACACAAATACATTAAAAGAAAAGAAAAAAATGGTGCAATTAATAAGGAGAAAAATAAACATAAAATATGATTAGAAGTTAAAAACAAGTGACTATTTGGTATGAAAAAACTAAGAGAATCTAGCAAAGAGAACTGATTTTTAGAAAAGAAACATAATTTAGAATGCAAAGACTTATCATTGAGCACAATGAAGATAAAAATAGTAAAAGTAAATTACAATATAGAATGTAAAACATTCCTAAAATAAAGAATAGAAGTTAAAGTAAAAAAGAAAAAAAGAAAAAAAGAAAACTAACTAAATCAAATCAAATAAAACCAAACCTATTTATGAAGAAAGATATTAAAGAGATGAAATGATCATATTTTAATTAAAATTTATAAAAAAGTTCTACAAGATCATCATGAGATAGAGTTGTAAAATATTCTATTAAAAATAAGATTGAATTCAATGAAATTAATAAGAATGTGTTGTTGATTGTTGAATCTTTTTAGAATAATTAAATAAGAAAAGAGCACTGTGAAAAAAGAACTAATTAAATAGAAATACATATTAGAGGTGATTTAAAAAATATAAATTTAAAATAATATACATAAAGTTTTTTTAAATAATGGGTAATTTTTTTGAATGTGAAAAAAAGTGAAAAAAAATATTAAAAGCTATAATATAGAAAGTGAAATATTGATGAAATAAAATTAGGATTAGAAAATATGTAATAGCATTAAATGAGTGAATAGAAAAAATAAAAGTATTACACATGAATAGAAAAAATAGTGCACATGAAAAGAAAAGTAGTGCACATGTAGTAAAATTAAAGATTTACATAAAGAGTAAGTAATAAAGAATTTACGACAAATATACACAATTGTATGAAAGAAAAATAAAAATACAAAAATTGGAAATATAAAACTTAAAAAGATCAAAAATTTGGAAATTAAATTAATAGAAATAAATGATAAGAAAATAAATAAATAAATAATTCTGGCATGAAATGAAATTTTAAGACTTCTATTCAAAGATCAAATTTATAAAAATAATTATCTGCACGAGATAAAAGAAACAATAATAATTAAACAATTGAGACTCAAGAAAATAATAGCTGAATTAAGAAAAAAATAATTTATACAAATATATATAAAAAAAAAATTGTTGGAATAAAAAATATAATAAAAGAAAAAATAAATTAAAAAATAATTAAAAAAATCTTTTAAAGCTTTTTAGGAAAAATTAAAGATAAAAACCAAGGAATTTTTTTACTGTTCTATATATATATATATATATATATATATATATATATGTTTTGTATCAAATAAAAACTCAATTAATAGACTAGGATAAGTTTTAGAATGTATTTTTGTTTGATTCTCTTTTTCACTTTTTTTTCTTTCTTTCATTGTTTTAATTATTTTTTTTATTTTAATTTTTTTTTTGTTGATTGTACTTTTCAATTTAAAGCACTAGCTACAATAAAGCATTAATTTAGAAATTTTTGTAACTTGGTCTTAGCAATAAAATTTATCCTCAAAATATTATTTTTAAATTGCAAGTAATAAAATATTTTTTATATTTTGAAACTTTACTTTCATTCTAAAAGAATTACAGTTGTTAGAAACTCCATATTTGGTCAAGGAGGCTTTTTTTTAATACTATAGGAAATTAAAAGAATATGTATGTGGAGTAACTATTTAAACTATTGTATATGTAGATTTTTATATAAAGAAAAAATATATTGGTGTACATATAACTGATAAAATTCTATGTGTAATCTAAGTGATAATGTTTATACAAAGTAGAAATTAAGTTTTATGAGAAAATACTATTTTATAACTTTATAAAAGATGTATAGCAACTCAAACTATAGAAAAAAAATATTGATTGAAAAAAAATTATGCTTTTAAATGCAAGAAAAAATTAATATTAAAATGCATGTAATGTATAAAGAAAGAAAAAAAATATCACTAATAATAATAAAATTTGAATGAAATATAAAACAACAATAAATGCATGACTATGATAAAGAAAGTTAGTTACATAACAATATTTATTACCAAAAAATGTAGAATTTATTTTACAAATGTTTAATATAAACAATAACAACAACAATTAAATCAGAGAAGAAAAAAAATTAAAATAAAGAAATTGAAGATAAAATTAATGAAATTTAGGAATATAAAAATAGAATAAGATTTTGAAATTAAGAAGGATAGAAGAAATTTTCATGGATGAGATTTAGTAAGAAAAGAAAAGTTTTAAAAAAAAATTAGAAAGCAACAAAAAATAGAAAAGAACAAAACATGAATAAGAAAAGCAAGACAAAATTTTAATGTAAAAAAATAATAATCAAAAATCAAGAATAACAAGAAAATATATCCTAAGCCAAAGAAAATAAATAAAATGTA